AGGCCAGGATTAAGGTGTTGTCGGGGTTCCGGAACTGCCGCACCAGGCCCGGGTTACAGATGCAGTAGCGCTGGCTGGGCCAGGAGGCAGGAGGGTGAGCACCCTGCACCTGGCTCCTGCCTCTAAGTGGGGACGCTAGACTGGCCGGCGGTGCCCAGAGCCCCGTGGTGGCTCTCCCTGCGGCTGCAGCCCTCTCGTCCTGCTGTAGGGGCACGTGGCTGCCCGGGAGGGCGGCATTTTCCGTGGCCCCGGGACAGGAGCAGCTGTGCTGGGGCGCCTGCCTGGACAGGGCGCCTCTGGGTGGGGTGGCCTGTCACAGGGAGCCGCGGGGAGAGGGGCCTGGCTTGCATGCAGCTCAGAAGAAACGCACCTCTGCCTGGCCCAGTCATGGCTCACGCGGGACCCAGTTCCTGCTCTTCCAGAGGCTTGGGAGGGGCAGGCCCAGAGAGGCACCATGTGGGCCGGCACGGGCTACGTTCAGGCCTCCCTGACCCGGGCTGGGGAGCAGTTCTGCCTTCCCTGCTCAGCCAGGACCCCTCCTGGGTCCTCGCCCCTCTGGCCTCACCGTGGTACTGAGCCCCAGCGACTGGGCCGTAGGCCCAGCCCCCAGCTCCCAGGCAGCCTGCCGTGTCCTCTGAGCCACTGCGGTCCCGGTATCCGCACCCCGGAGCCCCGCCCTCCACCTGCACGTCTGTGCTGCTGGTCTCTGTGCCCACGTTAGAGGGAGTGAGCACAGAAGCCAGCACCAGGTCATGCAGCTGGTCCTGAAGCTATGCACACCCTGCTGGCCAAGGGACTGATTGGGCGAGCCGGGGACTGACTGTGGGTGGGTGGAGAGCTGGCCGGGGCGTTGGTTCCCTCCTCTGCAAACAGGACATGAGGACTGTCCCTGCTGTCCCCGATGGCCACGGAGCCCAGCGCAGAGGCCAAGCACCGCCCAGGTGACCACCCATGGCGCTCTGAGTTGGATGGCCCCTCCCTGATGCCCTGCCCCCGACGAGAGCCCACCTGAAGGCCTCGATGAGTCGCTCCACCTTCTGGGCCTCCCCCTGGACGCGGATGTGGGCCTGGAACTTGCGTAGGGCCTCGTCCAGTTCCATCGCCGAGAAGTCCATCTCGTCCACCACGCAGCTGCAGGGGAGCAGAGAGCCTGCACCGGAGCCCGTCCCGGGGCAGCCCTGCCTTCCCCCTGGGTGACGAGAGCATGAGCCCAAGAGTAGGGAGCATTGGGCCGGGGGCCCGAGAGCCTGGGACAGGCCGCTGGTCGTGGGGGGCTTGGCCCTCTCCAGCCCTCTCCTTGCAGGGCTCTAGGACAGGGACGGGCAGTAGCGCTGCACCTCAGACGAATACAGGCACAGACGTCCCCGCTGCCCCCGGCCTGCCCTGCGCCCACGAGCAGGGCGTGGCCGCGCCCGCCCCCGGGCCAGCACTCACTCGAGCACGTCGCGGTTGAACTGCTTCTGCCTGTTGCCCAGGAACTCGCCAATCATCTGGCGGCTGAGGCCCTTGCGCTGCAGGAGGAAGTGGGCCACCCCCACCGGCGTGTCGGGCACGAAGCCACGCTCGATGAGGTACTGGACTCCCTTCTCAGGCTTCCTGCGGGGTGGCACAAACGCGAACTCAGCCAGCTGGCCAGCCCAGAGGGCCGTGCATGGTGGCTGGCCCCGTCCTGCCCCGCTCCCTGCACCGCCCACTTCGCCCCAGTGCCCCTCCTCAGCTTCTGGGCCGGTAGTGTCCTCTCCCCACTGTGGAGGGGACCCACAAGCCCATGCGGGCTGGCACTGGGAGATACCTGTCCTGTCCCACCCCAAGTCTGTGTGTGGGGCAGCTGGAGCGAAGGCCTGCTGCCAGCCCGTGCCAAGAACTGGCCCTCGCCCCCGCCTGCCCCCAGCCCGTGCGGCGCCTGGCCACACCGCGCCCAGACAAAGCCAGCACTCCGAGGAGGGTCGCAGTCATGGCACCCCCGCCGTGCTCGCCTGTGCCTCCCTCCCCGTGGGCAGCCTCCACCCACACCCAGATGAGCGGCATCTGCACGCCCTCGCCCACCGCAGGACCTCGCTGGTCAGTACTCAGGTGCCAGGGCCCATGCATGGGCGACCATGGAGGGTCGATTCACGGGAGCAGGATGGAGGGCAGTGGGCAGGCCCTGTGGGCTGCGGGTGTCCACAGGACACGCCCCAGGAGCCCAGGTCTTTCATGGCAGGGCCTCTAGGTGGCCAGGGTGTGTGCAGAGCCAGGCCTGGGCAGAGATGAGTAGAGCGAGCAGTGTCCCTGCGGGGCTGGCACTGCCTGTGCTGCTGCACCTGGCCAGGCCCGGGCAGGGGCCTCCGCCCTCCTCATCTCAGCGGCTGTGGGAAGCAGGGCTGCGTAGGACCTGTCTGTGACCTCGTCAGGCCACGCGGGAGCCCAGCGTGGCTCAGGACCGTGGCTGAGATACCCAGCACCGTGCTGCTGCAGCCACCATGGTCGGGATGGAGGCGAGGGCAGACCTCCCAAGTGTGCCGCCTGCTCAGGCTCCAGGTGATAGCTGTCCTCGCCCCAGGATGACCACTTGCCCAATTCGTCCTGGAGCTTGGTCTCGGCATGGACATGGACGTGGGGTGGCCCTGCGCCCCTCCTGGGCTGGGCCCGGTCCCACCGTGCACAGCATGTCCACAGACCTCCCTGAGGACTCTGCACACACATGCCCAAGTGCGGGGTGCCGAGGCAGTGGGGTCACGGCCTCAGGCCCTGCAGGGTGCAGTCCCCTGTCTCTCCCATGACGTAAGCACAGAGGCAGACTTGGGGAGCAGACCACCCGGTCCCCACATAACACGCTTGCCCTTGGGACTGCGTTTGGCCACACGGGTGGGCCGAGAGGCGCGTACACCGTGCCTGGCTTTTCAGGGCGAGGGGCACCTGCCAGCAGCGGGGTGTCTAGACTTCCCACCCGCCCTCCACCTGGCTCCCAGCTCCAGGCCGCAGGCCCACCTGGAGCTGACCCCAGGAAGTGGCCCAGGGAGGCGTGTGCCCCAGTGGGTGGCGACGACAGAGTAGGGTCCTCTTGCTGCCCGGGCTGCCCGGTGGGACCGCAGGCCTGGGCACTGCCAGGAGCCTCTTGCCCTGGGCTGAGGGGCCTGGTAGGGGATAGGCCAACTTGGAGGGACAGGGTCAAGGGACACTCTGTAGGTCCATGAGCCAGTAAAGCTCCCATGTCTACACCAGTCTGGCTGGATCCCTGTCACTTACAACAAAGGCTGGCCATGGGGACCACTGGTGGTCCAGGCCCAGAGCGCCCGGAATGGCAGAGGACAGACTCGCTGGGCCGGATTCGGGGGGCCCTGCCTCCTGCAGGAGCCCTTCCAATAGTCTCTCTGCTCCGTCTGGTCATACTCCCAGAGGGCGAGCTCCCCACCCGGCTGCCACTGCCTCAGCTCCGATCCGTGCGGGCCCTGCCCCGGCTCTGGCGGCACCCATTCACCTCCGAGCGAGAGCAGTGCCCACGCCCTCAGTCTGCTTGTTGGCTTCCATGAGTCGACTGTGAGCACGACAGAACCACCAAGAGCCAGGCCGGTGTTTCCAAAGAGCAAAGGGGGTTCCTGCCCTAATGAGAAAACACTGAGCAGGGTCATAGCGGGAGGGGGCCGGATTCCACAGGCTAGGCATGTGGTTCGAATCCTGGCCCGTGCACGCATGCCCCAGATCCTGGCTCATCAGGGCTGTCCCAGCACAGACCCAGCTTCCCGCAGGAATCGGGGATTGGCGGAGGAAGGACAGGTGGTTCGCCCGGTTGTTCGGAGACAGCTGGCAAATTCCCAGAGCGCACGGGCAGTTAGACCCTCACACCTCCCGTCCTCTCAGACACGGTCCGGAGGAAGCCCTGACGCGGCTACACCGCCGTCCAAGTGCGGACGCAGGGCCTCCGGGTGACCGGTGCGGCCAGGGCCCTGCACGAAGGCAGGGAAA